AGCTTGCTTGACTTTCTGCATGTTGAGATGGATCGTTCCTGTGCTATGAGGTGGCTGTTCTTGAAGATCACCGAGGTCTCCCAGGACCCTTTCCTTCCAGGAAATTTTCCTACAGGATCCTAGAAGCAGGTCCCTGAACAAGCCAAAATCTACTTTTCTGAAGTTCTGGATCTAGCTTACTCCCCTCAGGATCTTAAACTCCACAAGTGTCACTGCTGCTGCAGCAAAGGTTGCCCTTGCCCTCTACGCTGTCAGTTGTTGCTCACTGCAGGTGAGCAACAGTCCCAGGTCAGTCACAGATCTAACAGAGCACCTTCCCTTACCGGTTCATCAGTCACATGTCTCAAGAAATTATCCTCAATATGTTCCAGAAATCTCCTAGATCGCTTGTGCCCAGCCACGTTGCCTTTGCAGCAGGGTGGTAAGTCACCGATGGGTACTACAGTCTGTGACTAAGACTTTCTCCAGTTGCCTAAAGAATGCTTCACTTGCCCACTCTTTATCAGATAGGACATAGCAGATACCCATTGCAACATCACCTGTGCTGGTCCGTCCTCCGATCCTTACCCACAAGCTCACCACTGCCTCACCACCTGACCCAAGGCAAAGCTCCATTCATACAACTACTTTATACCGAGCTCAACCTCTCTGCCATCCCTGCCCAGCCCAGTCTTTCCTGCATCCCTCCATTGCATGACTCTAGTCACGAGAGCTATCCCAACACATCACCACAATCCTAATGAGGACCTAGTTCTGCAGCTGTGCATAGACTGTCCTCCTGCTTATTCCTGATGCTACATGGATTTATGTACAGGCATTTGAGGTGGGTGCCAAGTTGTGCTGCTTTTACAGGGACAGTGTGAGAGCCTGCCTTGCCATGCTGTCTCCCAGATGCATCTTCTCTGCCTCTTGTGCCCTCAGTTCTCTCCAGGTTATGGTAGCCCTCCCCACCATGCCTTCCTCATTAGGTCAGGAAGCCTGTTTGCAAAGACACCTTTGCCACCCTCTGTCAAGCATACCACACCCCAGCTCAGTAGCCCTCGCTCTGACTGTGGTCACAGACACCAAAGCCCTGTCTGCAACACCAGCCATGCACCCAAGCTGTGACACTGGATGAGTCCTGGATGAGTCCACTTCTGCTCAGGGGTTTCTCTCTCTCTCAGACAGGATTGAGGAAACACCACCTGGACCCTTGCCCTTCACCCTCATCCCCAGTGCTGTGTGGCCACCCTTAATGCGCTCCAGGTTACTCCCAGCAGCACCACTGCTGCCCACAGCAAGATCAAGGAAGATCCTTTGGTAACAGTCCAAGGGATGAACAAAAGGATGCAGCCTGGGCAGCATCTTCCAGACTTGTTGTCAAATTGCCCTCATCTTCATAAGAGGGAGCCTCCTGTAACTATCACATCCCTTTTACCATTCATGTGGACAGGCTCAGCTGTCTCTGATCCCATGTCTGATCTGTGCAGACAGTCCCTAACTCAACGTTCCTCTGATACCAGCATCCCCGTATCTATTTTGAGTTGCTGCTTGCCACAGGGACTTGGAAGATGACCCTACCTGATTGTATAAAAAAGGGTTTGTAGTTAGAGTGCTTGTTAGAGCGTCATTTGCAAAAAACAGCATCTATCTGAAGGTCTTCAGCACACTATCTTCAATAGCACAAAGATAGATATGGAAATAACACCGTATTTCACATTACAAAACATGAGGCCAGTACCAGTAGTAGTTTTAGGCCTTTCTAGTCCCTCTTGCTGCTTAAATTTATCAATCAGATGAAAATAAGGTGACTTAAAAATCAGCCTGCAAGGGGAGCAGACAATCAGACATTTGCTGTGCTCAGAACACTTTGCAAGCAGCAGCAGAAAAAAAGCAGAGGAGGAAGGGGTTGTATGGGCAACATCTACTTTTATTAAACTTGCAATGGTTGTACGTGGCAGTACAAGGGCATGTAAGCAGCCACCACAGATGTAGCTTTAAAACAAACAAACAAACAAACAAGTCTCTGCTCATTTTGCAATAAAAATTTTTAGAAGGATGCAATCTGAAGCCACCTCGAGGAAAAAAAAGAAGAAAAGCAAATCCAAAGCTGAATAGCTTTAGCACTATACAGTATGGGTCTCCCTACTTTCTATAGTGCTGCAAGGTTCTAACAAGTCTTTGTCTCAAAAGTTAATTAAACTTGTGTAGAAGGTTCATTAAATATGTGAAAACTCTTCTAGAGGCCTGGAAGCATTCCTGAGCTCCCCAGCAATGGCCAAGCCTTTCACCTTCATTTTTATTGCTTTGAAGCAGAAAACTAACTTGGTAAAAGCACAGAGGAAGTGATTCTTCCTTACCAAGACTCAAGATGTTTGTGGAAAGGAATGTGAAATAGGAGGAGGTATTAACCCATAGCAGAGGAATATCAGTCCTTTGAAGGCTGCACGCTATCCAGATCCTGTGTGAATGTAAAAATGAATGCTCTCACAAGTCAAGTTGGAAAAGGTGCCCAACTTTCTCCTAAAGGCATAGCTAAGTAAGCCTGTAAAAACTGCATTGTGATCACTGGCAAAGACGAGTTGTTTCAATAAATGCAGTAAATGTCAAATTAAATACTGTAAATCTATAGGTTTGTGGTCTATGCCCATCACCAAGCATTGGTGGCTGCTGACTAACGCCTGGATTTTTCCATTTTAAAAAGGCACGTGTTTAACACGGGGCAAACCGTTCGTTCTGCCCTGCCTTTACATAACAACACTGCAGGTGAAAGTTATCCCTGGAAACCCCGTCAGAAGGAAAGCGTGATCAAGAAACGCCACCTGCTGTTTCTTGGATCACTGTTCCAAAAAAAAGCTGCTGGAGTGCAAGGACAAGCACAAACCTCATGCTTCGATTCATTGCAGGAAGAATATCTGAATATGATGAACAGCAATCCCTCCCCACAAAACAGTACCCAAAAGATCCTCATCTGAGCTACTTACTACATGAAGCTTTAAGCAGCATTTCCCACAGAAGTCCCTTGCAGTGAAACCAAGAAAAAAATGCAGTGATGCACTTTGAAATGCAAACATCTTTGTTTAATTTTTTTTAACAGATTGTTCACCAAAAAAAGCCAAATCTATTAATTGATTTCCCAATTTTGTCTTCTTTTTAATGTCAAGGTTCATCCTTGATTAAAAGTCTATAATTATTTCACTCGCTGCAATAATATAGTGCATGTCCTATTGTCTGGGGCTGTCTCCAAGAAATGCTCTCCAGGAGCTCAGCCCTTGACATTCCAGCCACCTCGGCCCAGTAAAACCCCTAAGTATTTACCTAACTTTACACAAGTTTGGCTTCCTGGTCCTGGGCACTGGGAAACCATAAGCCTATTACTCCTAAGAACACTAAACTAAGCCCATGCCTGAAGGCTCTTCTGCACCAAAGCTCAGGGCCTTGATGCACCAAAAGGTAAATTTATAAACACACATTCAAATCCAAGCTTCCCTGATTAACAAGCCTCTCTGCATCTTGTTTGAAACAAATGAGACTGTTTGAAGCCACATAAACACCAGAAGTTACTCTCTTACCCGATGTAAGGGAAGATGTCACCAGTCTTCTACACCACTCCCAGAGCAATGTTCAATATTTATGTTTAATTGACTGAATTGTGTGTGTGTTCCTTTGAACCTACCCTTTAATGCTTCTTGAGTCCCTGCTTTCTCTTTCTACTGAAGCACTGTTTGTTATTTAAGGGCATTGCCCTTCTCTCTCAAGACGAAGAAATAGTGTTTCTTTAAAACAAATTATCGACTTAATGATTCGCTATTTGCATAATAGTTACCTGAGTGAATCAGCCTCCAAAAACAAGTAGTGAGAAAAAAAGAATGCAAAACATCAGCTATATTGGCAATTGTAATAGAAGTTATCATTACTTCAGGTGCTGGTAGGATACAGCCACAGTCAGGAACCTAACAAATTCAGATTAAAACCAACCAACTGACATGCGCATCTCAGCCCTAGGATGAACCAACTTCTTGCAATTAACCCAAGTCTGAAAGTACCAAATAAGGAAATTAAAAATAATTGACCTTATATATTTGCTATGTAGCAGGCTAAATGGGTCAGGCTATCTTCTATTGCTTATAAAAATGTAGTCTTACATCAAACAGCTGTCCTGATAGTACCAACCAAATACATTGAAGAGTAGTTCAGTCCTTTAAGTTTTTTGAAACTAATCCTTGCCACATTGCAAGCAGCCTTTATAAATCCCGAACTGAATTTATTTGTGGGGAACTACTTAAGGGCCCATATTGTATTGGAAGTGTTGAAAGAATTTCCAGCTGAGGGAAAAGAAAATGATTAAAATTTAAATCCTGAATTATGTGTTAAATTATGTGCTACACAATATTACAGGACAAGTAATGAGCTGTGTTCTTAGACCAATGTATGTAGCACTTCAATCTATGCGACCACTCATAAAAACTGTTCACACATTTCACAAAAATGTGATACAAACTTCAAATTCTTCTTCAGTTACTTTTGCATGAAATTCCATCCACTGTGTAACAGCTTTGAGCATTGTAGTATTAGCAACACATTGGTGACAGAAATGAGCTACAGAAGGAAACCTCTGACCTGCTGTAGCCATGTTTGCTTTGCTGGCTAAAGATGCGTTTCTGCAAGGATGGGTTCTTGTTTCTTCACAGTGACTCACTCGCTAGCTTCAGCAAAGTTTCATGAGATTCATTCACAGAAATAATCCTTTAAGTTCTGACATTCGCTTGAGGTGGGGAGAGACAAAATAACTAAAAAAGAACAGACGCCAAAGGAGAGAGAAGGCTGCGCAGCTTGGAGAGTACCAAGCTGGGCTCCATCCTGTCTCATGCTCACAGCACTGCCAAATTCTGCACCAACAGGCTCACCACTCCATAGGCACAAGCAAACCAAAAGCACCCCAGTGCCAGCCAAGGTAGAGCTGTTTCCAGTTCTTTCCATTCTGGATGGTGAATGAGAAGAGATTTTGGGGTATACAGGACTCAGAGTTACAAACGGCTTTTTATTACTAGAACCAAGCACATTTGGCCTGGAGTCACTAAAGCTGGCCCAAAGAAGCTTCTTTGTAGTGTTTTTATGACTGCTTGCTCTGCATATGAGTCTATTATGCTGATGACACGTAATTCTAGTCTAAAAAACTTGTTAGAACTTAGTTGCAAATTTGTATCAAGATCTGCTAACCCTGGGAGGCTTAAAACCAGAAAATTTAAGTTTAAAAAAATAATAAAAAAAAAGGAAACGGTATGCGCACCCACTCACTCTGAGACTCTGACTTTTGTTCAGGATTCTCCTTCAAGCAAGACAACAACCTGTTGGGTACCATGCTACCTCCCACAGCATTTCCATGATACCATTTGATATGAAAAAACTTACTAATATATTGCTTCTTAAGACAGATATTAAAGGGAACAAAAGATGCTTGCTTTCCTCTGATTCTCTTGGGATGCAGAGAATTTGAATAAACAGTTAAAGCAATTTCCATACTCTTTTATCTAGACTCTGGACTGCATGTATCCTTTCAGTCAGAGAATTACTTCTACTGAAGACTGAATCTTCTTCTGATGAATCACAGAAGTCAGGTAAGACATGCATGCTATTTTGTTCATTTCCATCAGGATGCTTGGCATAGGAAAATCCTGATTTAAGTGCCTGAGAAAAAACTTCAAACCATTCTATCACTCCATTTCTGAACAACATGCATGGAAGCTACATGATCTGTATTTAAAATGCAGTTTCACACAAAAAACTTGAACAATTGCTTATTGTGGAGGAAGGGAGAAGACATTTTATTTGAGCCTGGCTTCCAAGAGATGCTAACAGCAGTTCAGTTTGCCATCAATTATGGAACTATTCCAACAATAGATTTGACCGAAGTGCTTTAGCAGCCTGATAGCCCAATTGCTTCTGATGTAACAGCTTTGCAGGGATCTTCTTTGAACTAGGAATCTGGAAAAGCATGTCTTCCAGTGTGCACATGGTTATCCGTCCTGAAGCTTTTAGTTTCATATAAATATCTCCTAATTTGGCAGAAAGGTCAGGGTTTTCTTCCATCTTTTCCCTGACGGTAGCCAGCTAAGGCGGAGAAAATGACAGACTGTTACTGTTCAGCAAGTGAAGATCTCATTCAACCATCATATTGAAGCAAGCACTCAAACTAAAAAAAATGTACACCACATAAGATATGTGGCTACTGCCAATGACTCATAAGAAGACGATTTCAAACAGCACACATTCTACATCCCCAGACAATGGTGGAAATGCACTAGATACCTATTAGAGAGAGTTTATTAGATTTAAAACTTCCTCAAAGTAGTACAGCCCTAGTACAGACTAACATAATTATTTTCTATTTAAAACCAGGAAATGTAATTGCTTCCTGGATTCTACTTTCCAGATCAGCACAATTCTAATTACTATTATGATCACACTAAATGTACAGTCCAGTACAAATCAATAAAGATAGATTATAGAATACTGAGAAGTTCTGTATGACACATACAGAGCATGAGCTCAAGTATAAGTAAATATCTTAAAAACTGTTATTGATCAGTAACCTTTGGGGGAAGGAATGGATTAGAACTAATGCTTAGTCTTCCTAGGGACTGTTACAAATTTGCCAGACAAAACCAAAATACAACATTGACACATACATCATTAATTGCAATGAATTTACAAAATGAACTGCTGCTTAAAAATATTTCTTTTCAACTTAGCAGTTAATATACATGAACAATATTTTGAAAGGTATGGCCCCCTTCTACCTCGTATTTGTTATTTTACGTATCAGTTATTCATTTTAATAGGCAGCAGTGAAATGCTAAGTACTTAATTATTAACATAGTTTTCAAATATCTTGTTCCATAGACATGTTCAAAATGAATACACTAGTAAGTTTCAGGAAAAGCAGTATCAATGTTGTCAAGCTGATAGGGGTACATATGTGTTCTGAAGGAAGTCTTCTTGGTGAGCAATACTGGAAAAGCTACAGCTATTTTTTACAGTAAAATAGAAAAAGCTATTATTTCCCCTATCACACTTCTCTGTATCAGCAGGTCTTTGCAAATATTACCAACCTAACAGTATCACTGTGATCAGAACTCTATTCTCATTTTTACATCAAATGAAAATAGCATAGAAGGCAAGGGATTAAATTATTTAATGCCGCTAGGGAATGCTTCGTCTACATTCAGATGAAATTTGAGCTTCTAAGAGTGAAGTCACAATAAAAAAAGGGAAGTGGACAGCCAAGTGCTTTGTCCAACAGTACAGAAAGCCAGCCAGCTGCTTTGGCATCTGAATGTATCAGAACCTTAACAACTTTTATTGGGTGAACTCAGGACCTGAAGTTCTGTAGCCAAACCACCATCACCATGTCTCAGCCAAGCACTGTGGACCTCCTCTCATTACTTTATACTTACCACCTGCTCACAAAACTCAATTTTTTTCACAAAGGGAGGAGTATCTTCTTCCACTGCTGCCTCTAAGATCTTTATCACTTCTTCTAGCGAACCAGATCTGAGCTGGACAAGAACCTTAAAAATAAAATAAAACCACACTACACAAAGTACTTATCAACAGAATGCAAATCTTAAAAAAAAGTGTTTGAGAAAGACATGAAGCAAAGCAGGGCAAAATACATTTCCAGATGCTGTGCTGATAAAAATCCATTAATCATGAAGAAAGCAGAAGGCTGGTTTTTCTTTCACAGCTGGGACCTGGAAAAGGGTAAGCCTGGAGGCAGAGCTCCTCTGATGGAGCTGCATAAGCTGTTCTTGAATAAAGTGGTTTTTTCCATAGCTTAGAGAGGTCACTTACAGAGACATGCAGTAGACCTTCTCTCAGGTTGTAGACCATGCAATTAAAGAAAAAAATTGTTGTATGCACATACGTGGCAAAAGTTCACTGGGTTGAAGAAGGCCTGAAGTGGGCAGAACACAGCTAAGGAAGGTATTTACTTGGAGTTGTGGTTTTAAAAATCTCTTGTAGCAAGAACGAAAAAATGTCACAATGTCATAATCATGGGTCTATACTCACAGATGTAGGACTGGTCTACTTTCCATTCCTACCTATGATAGGAAGCAATTTTAAAAATGGGGGGAGGGTGTTAACAATTCAGAATGTAACTCATCCAACTGACAGAAATTGCCTGTTGGCTCAAAAACAAGCTCAGCAACAGTACTGATAAATGCCTGTGCGACTAAGTAGCTAGCCTTCTGTTGCTCTGCACATGGGAGTTTTTTGTCCAGTATAGCATACTTCTTTGAAAGACTCTAATGCAAAGCAAGCATACTTACTTTAAGATTATTGTATAGCTTGTTCTCTGTTTTCAAGATCTGGGAACAATAAAATTTGGCTTGCGCTACATCATTCTAGGAAGGAATTATAAATTATAAAAATATACAGTTAAACATGTGTGGCACGCAAGAAAAACATAGTCTTTCACAACTTTTCAATGAATCATAAACCAGCATCAACAGAGAACCCCTTCACCAAGACCCATAGACTCCAAACAGCATCCAGCCCGTGAGAGGAACACCCCACGCTGGAGTTCCCATGTCATCTGGCTCTTTAGCACATCAGACAGTACTTCCTGCCTCAGATCAGCAAGGAAAGGATGCATGTAACCAACACTGAGCATGACAGCACCTAAAAGATTTAAGATCTAAACACTCATACTCAGTTTGGCACATGTCAGAGTACTTAAATCAAGTGCAGCATATGTTAATGTGGGTATTTATTTCACCCAGCAATTTTAATCTTTTGGGACATACACATTTACAGTACTGTATCTATGCCATCAAGTGATTTTATAGACACCAGATGTTACACTGACATTTACTAGAACAACCACTGTTACCTGCGATCAAGAAACATCTTACTCACAGCAAGACAAACTGTCAGTGATCATACAGTTTAAGGAACAGTTAATGAGGAGCATTATTCTGTTTTCAAAACAAGAGCTTTTAACTGATTTTTACATAAAGCAACAGCATCAAGAATATTTCATGTTGTTCAGAGACAGAGTTTTTATTTTTTAACCTCAATGCCAATGAGAAGCCCTATCATGCCATCATGCACACGATTAAATTACTTTCAATGATGCTACTGTTCAGTGTCTCTGTTCACAGAGACAGTGCAAAAAGGACCAGAGTGCATAAAAAAATCTTAACAATTCTACATTGGTTCAAATCCATGAACAAGATCAAATAGGTAGCTCTTACAGTACCTCTGACTTCTGTTTAGACATGAAACAGAGGAGGTTCAGCATTTCCTCATGCTGTATACACAAATAAATGGCAGATGAAATACTAGACTTTAGAAATTCCTAACTGTTATTCTCCTGCTCTATCTTTCACCTTACTGTCTCAGAGCCTCCTTGTATCAGTGAAACCCCCCCCCCCCCAAAAAAAAGG